ATTTCTCGATATACTATGTTTAATTTTTATGTTTGTTTAATTTTCATCCCTCCCCCCCTTTATAAATACGAAAAAAATAACGTTAAACGAGGTTTTAATTTCAAGTCGCCTAATTAAAACTTAACGTTCTTGAAGAGTCTACATTTGGGGCTCCATACGGTAAAAGGAAGGGATGGGCCAAAAAAGATTTTTTTTAAAAAAGAATCAATATCTTGAAGATCGGTTAGAATAAAATTTTATAAAATTAAAAAATCTAGTTTATTTACAGTAGTAAATATCTTCTTGTTTATCATGAGATCCTTATTGTTATCGTTGAAGATCCGTTCAGTGATAAAATTTTCATTGATTTCAAAGTCGTATTCAATGATACTATTTTTGAATTCGAGACATTCCCTTTCGTGATAACTTGTGTTAACTTATATTAAAAAATAAAAAAAAACCATCAGCGTATCATCACATCATTCTGCTCAAAATCCTCAGAACCCGCAAACGAACTTACAAAAGACAATACTTTCGCTGAAATGCCAATCATGTTCACACGCAATGTCTAGCGAGAAAGTACTTACTTTTGATGTACCAGTTTGATTATAATTCATTTTCTTTTCTTTTGATTTAAGAAATCCACAAATAAAATTTAAATACAGTAACATAAAACATATCAAAACATATTTCACGCTTTTTTATAATTGACGCATTGCAGATTCTTAATTGTAACTGGTTGAGAGTGGCGACTAAAAATTTAGGCCGAAATCACAGCTGCCATTAAACGAAAAATACATTTGGCTATATAAAATCGCATAGCTTACGCAAAATTCAATTGTGCGAATTTATGCAAATAATGTGATAACATTTTAATTTAAAAGATTAAATTTATAGTGAAAAGCGCAAGACCTGTTTATATACCTGTATATAAATTTTCATGTATAATAGGAACATAATTTACTTGATATAATAGCCTATTTAATATAACAGATTGTTTAATGGGTATCCGTTTCTCTATTGTACTAAATTTAGTATATACAGTACCGGACAGCAAGAAACATCCACTTTTTATATATAAATATAAAAATGCTTATAACTTACAAACAAATAAATTTAAAAAAATCTGTCTTACAGATTTGTTGCTTTTAGTCTAAGCTACAATTCTGTTAGAATAGAATTTTATTTTTATTATAAATTTAAAAAGTTATTAGAGCCTAAAGTTACTATGTAATCAAAACTTTGGCATTTAATATATAAAAAATTGTTTTTATAGATTTTTAACCAATCAGAATCTTGTTACACAAAAATAGCCAATCAGATTTGAGTATAAATCTCAAAATTTGGCGCTTTAAAAAAAAATTGGATGTTTCTTGCTGTCCGGTATTGTACAAAAAAAAATTAATTATTTAACCAAATTTATTTAAATTTTGTTAAAATATATTTGAATATTAGAGTTTTCTTTTTGTATAAATTCAGCATAATTTATTAAAATTTTTTTATAGTTTAATCTTAAACTCTCTGTAATTTTGTCATACTAAATTTAATACAGTATTAAAAAAAACCATATTATGTAAAAATTTATAAAAAGTAAAAAAATAAAAATTTTAAATGATTTTAATGTGGGTTTGGCTTTAAAATAATTAAAAAATAACTAATAATTTTTTAAAGTAGTTTAGATAAACTTGTTTTAAAATGATACGAGTCTAAAAATGGTTAGTTTTTTTATTATTTTATATAGTAAAACATAGCAAAACTATAGTAAAAATATTAATAAATTTAAATTACTTATAACTTTTATATATTAAACCAATTTTAATAATTTTATTATCATTAGAATTAGAAAAAACTAGCTCTACAGATTTACTAATATTTTAAAAGAATTTAATCAAATTTTTGTTATTTATAATGTAATAATTTTTTAGTAATTTTTAGTAATTTTTTAGTGTATTTTTAATAACAAATTAAATTTTAAACTTATTAATGTATTTTGATAAATTAACTAATTTTTAAATATACTTAGGATTATATGTTAGATAAATTTAATTTAAAGTTAATAATAAAAATTTTTTAAAATTTAACTTTAAAACTGTACTAAATTTAGTGCAGCAAACGGACACCCTTAATTATTTTAATAATTTAAAAAACATTTACATTGATATCTTACTAATTATCAAAATTTATCATAATTGAATGATTTACTTTACGCGAGGTTGATGAAGTTGCGGATGTGAGAATCTTGTCACCTTGCATTTACACATGGCATAATTTTACCATAAGGCAGGCCTATTCTCCAAAAGCTTTTTATTTTTTTAGGTTTCCCAAATCCGAACCTCAAAATCTTTAAATTTCGAT